CACTGGGATACAAAATCAGAGCCCATAAGGGATGCCAGCTGTTGCAGACAGCAGCTTCACTCAGTATGCCACAACATCAGCCCCAAATCCATTCTATTTTCAACACTTTTCTGACTTTAAAAAATAATATGTATTTTTTTTCTTTCTCAATATAAGGATTATCTAATATTTGAAGTTTTCATAAAACACCATTACACAAACCTTCTGGCATTCTGTTTTTGATACAGTCGAAATTTCTGAATACTGAGTCAATAATGTCTTTAATTTATTGAGGTATGTGATACTGTGATATAATAAAAAATATATTTTGGTCTCTGTTCCAAATTACTGACACAGAGCTCCTAACACCTTCGAATTTCAGGTGATACTAATGTAGTTTGTTGTAATGAAGCAGCTCTTAGTAAGCTTCTGGGTGGGTGCTGGTCCCTAGACAGACCAAGCCATGATTAGAAGTTCAGAACTTCCAATGCCACCCCCTACCCCCCAGGAGTTAATACTCAGTCATGTCTATGTGATGAATCCAACAAATCCCTAATTTATGGTTTTTGGAGAGTTTCCAATCTTCTGAACACAGAGATGCAAGAAGGGCAATAAACCCAAAGAAACATGGAAGCTCCATGTTTCTTCCCCTATACTTTGCCCTCTGTATCTCTTCATATGCTGTTCATTTGCATCTTTTATCAAGCTCTTTATTATATAATAAACAATTAAATGTAAGAAAGCATTTACTGAGTTACATGAGCTGTCTTAGCAAATTACCAAACCCAAGGACAGGGTCATGGGAACCCCAACCGACAGTCATTGGTCAGAAACATAGATGACATCCTGGAACTTGCAACTGGCATCTGAAGTAGGGGCAGTTTTGTGGGCCTGAGCCTTTAACTTGTGGGATCTGCACTGTTGGTTAGTGGCCAAATTAAACTGAATTGTAGGATACCATCTGGTGTCAAAGAATTGGCTAATGTGGAAAAAAAACACATATCTGGTAACAGAAGAATTCTTTGCAAGAAAACAGTCTCCTCTTCCTATTAAAGCAAGTGTGAGTTATGCATAGAACTGACTCTTGATTTTGTCTCCACTCTACCACCACTTCGGTACTTATGTTTCCCCTTTCATTCATGATTTTTTTTTTCATTCATGATCTGTCTTCCTAGATTTCTCTCTTTTATTCAGTCCTTCTCATAACAAGCTTTTGATTTTGTTGATTATCTCAAGTTGTATTTTTATGTTCCAGTTTGGTGATTTCTTCTCCCCTTGATTACTTCCTTCTTTTGCTCGCTTTGAGTTTATCCTGCTGTTTAAATAGGCCTCAAGTTGAATGCACAGTCCTTTAATTTTCAACCTTTTTTTTTCTCTGCAATAAAATTTAGGATATAAATTCACCTCTATGGACAACTTCAGCTACATCCCACTTTATTAGTATTCAATTCTGAATGTTTTGCCTTTTCCATCATTATTTCTTCCTTAATCCATGAGTCATTTAGAAGTAATTTTTAGCAGCCATATTTTGGGTCATATCTTTATTATGGAGTCCTTTGGTAAATAATGCTACTCTCCTACCCTGACATCCATTCTCATTACATCCTTTGTAAAAGAACCCTGAGTCTGCGGTGGCAATGCAACCAGGTAATTAACCATGTCTTCCGGTTTTCCTTGTACTTAGGTCTGACTGCAAGACAAAGTTCTAACTAAGGTAATGTTAAATACTAGGCATCTAAACAACACCCTCCAAACACAACCACAGATGATCTCTACCAGAAATCTCTTCTTAAAAGCCCCAGCCCTCATTCTTGTTTCTTCAGGCTAGAAATCTAGAATTCCTTCTTGGTTATCCTCTTCTCCACATCCCACATCCAATCTGCTATAATGTCATATCAGCTCTATCTCTAAAATACCTCTAAAATCTAACCACATGTTGTCAGATCCTAAGCTAGTCCCAACCCCCATTCCTCTCATTGGAATATTTGAGTCCCCTCCCAATGGGACTCCTGGCCTCCCGAAAATTCGTCCTGCATACAGCAGCCAGTGAACTTCTTGAAGGAGTGGATCGGATTATTTCATTTCCTGCTATAAAACAAAATCTCATAGAGCTTCTGTATTGCAAACAGAAGAAAAGACAAGCTCACTGGCCCCTGTCCACTCCTCCATACCTCCCTTCACTCTCGACTCAACTGCATGGACATTCTTTCTGCTCATAAACATAACAGGCCCGGTCTGTCTCAAGCTGATGGGCTTGTGCTTAGAAGTCTGCCCCCAAGAATGCTCTGCCAACCAGACTTCACTTGGATTTCACCACCTGGAACTATCCTAGGTGTTTCTTTGCTAATTCTCCATTATTTGTATTCTTCTCTATGTGTTAGACTTCTTTGCTGTTGCTTTTAGAACAGTCAGTCCTCTCACTGACCATTTTTAAGTGGTCAACAAGTACAATATATATGGTATAATACTGGAATATACACACAGTCACACATCCATGATTTAGGTTATTTGATATAAAATATATTATAATCTCTAATGTAGGATATTTGCTATATAAGATATGTGTTATACAATGTAAAATGTAAAACATTAATATACAATGTATAATATATAACACGTAATAAAATTTATAGTAGTCAACATACAGTATATGCTATAAATAATGAAAAAATATTAACATCTTTTAAAGATATACATCTTAAAAATTTTTGCCCTACTTTTATAAGTCCTCCAAAACCACATCAACACAGAGAGGAAGAGGGAGAAGAAAGGGGACAGGCGAGGCGAAAAGGACCACCATTGTGGCACAGTGGGCGAGGCCTCCGCGTGCAAAGTTTCAAGTCCTGGCTGTTCCACCTGCAACCTAGCTCCCTGCTAATGCACTTGGGAGAGCAAGGAAAGATGTCCCGAGTGCTTGGGCCCCGGAAACTCTTATGGGAGACCCAGGTGGAATTCCTGGCTCCTGGCTTCCAGGCCGTGGTGGCCATTTTGGGAGTGAACCAACAGATGGAAGATTTGTATTCATATTCATTCATTCTATCTATCTATCTATCTATCTATCTATCTATCTATCTATCATCTATCTCTTCCCCCCTCTGTAACTCTGCCTGTCAAAAAAATAAATAAATAAATCTACAGGAAGGAAGGAAGGAAGGAAAGAAGCAGAAAAAATTTTGAAAGAGAACACAGCTGCTGCCACACCTGCGACCTCACACAGAGCTGCGCTCACTCCTCTGTCCTCACTTCAGCTGCTAGGGGAGACCTGCTGGGAACCTGAAAGGCATCATATCACTGTATCAGCACAAGTAAAGATCAGCTTGGAACCTGCATGGCTCCATGCAGAGGGAAGGGACTGAGGCTCCCTTCCAGGAAGCTTTGCTCTCCAAGGGCCTTGATGCACTAATGGTGGAATAGCCCCATGAAGGGGACGTTGGTGCAGTCTCTCCCTCCCCAACACAGTCCAAGCTGGGAGTCATGGAATCCCTTAACTGCAGATTCTTAAACACTCAATTACTTAAAGTCTAAATGGAAAAATTACTCATGAAACAGCACATCACAGATGCCCTATATAGATATACTCCTCTGGTTTAGTGGAGTAAGAACAGTTAGAAAACCAGGTCATGTTTTCTATCTTTCTGCCAGCTGGCCTTTTTCTTTAATCTTAACATGTGATTTCCCAGATCTCTTGATTTCTACTCATGAATTCTATTTCCAGTCGCCATATGCTACTTTTCTGCAAGTATTAATTTGGGACAATCCTGCTCACAAATTTTGGAAAAGAAAGACTCTATAAGATAAAACTCCCTAAGTTAGAATCACCCCTTTCCTATGATGGGCTAGGGACTTTTTTATTTCATCCGTGTTATGGGGCTATGTGGTCCTATTTGCAGGGCACTGCAGTTCCCTTCATGGTAAGTAGGAAGGAAATGAAAGTAATTAGAGCCCTTAGATGTAAATTTCAGTGTTAGCTGAAAGATTCTCTTTTCCCCCAACTCAGCTTTTGTAAACAAAGCTATGATGAGACTAAACCTGGGAAGTTACCAGAGCTCCATGACAACTGCGCTGGCCAGCCATGGCGACCATCACCATGTGCATGTCATCGTCATTTACAGAGATGCATTTGCACACGGTAGGGATAAACATTCACTTTGGCTCCCAGCAAGAGATCACTAGCAACCAGTGAGGAGAAGGTGGGATGGGGAAGAACACAATTCAAGTCAGCTTTCTTCTCGATGGACTCAGACAATGGTAAAATGAAACTGTTCTTCGACTTTCTAGGTGTCGGGCCACAAACAGGCATGGCAAAGATACCCGATGCATTGTGATTTCTCATCTTGATATCAGATTATGATATAGATTTTTTTCTTAGTGTACATATCTGTATGTAAAGAATTAAAGAGGCAGGGTAATTCTCAAACTGAGACTCAATGTTCTACAGGAAATGTCTTTTACCATCCTTCTTATTTTAAAATAAATAATAAAAACACACCCTTTACCCATTATAAAGCCAGACAATAAAAAGGAACAAATGCCATGTATTAAGCCCTTGAACCCCAAAGGTCTGTGGCACAGCAGCAGCCCTGCACACCACCACTCTGCTTACTCACGTTTACATGCACTTGGCTTCTCTCCCAGAGCTTTGCACTGCTCACGATGGGAATATAGCAAGAGGATTTCTGAAAGATTCGAAACAAACCATTTGGTGTCACCTCAGGAATATTTCCATTTCTGAGATGATTTTTAGGCACAGATGCTAATCAACTCAAACAACAGCTATTTGCTTACCAAGTAGCTGGTACTGTCCAGAGCACTGTTGTAGGTGCTAAGGGAACAATCTGGAGCCCAAAACACAATTCCTACTCTCAAGAGTCCAGCGGAAACCACAGGCAGGAACCAAAAAAACATTCAAATACACACCACTCAACCACCCCCTCCCCCACTCTTCCAGCTTCTAGTAATCTCAACTGAAGTTCAGACCAACTCTATTTGTGAACTTCCTCATGTGAGAGAGAACATGCAGTATTTATCTCTCCATGTTTGGCTTTATTTCACTAAACATAATGATCTCCAGTTCTGTCCATTTTGCTTCAAATGTCAGGATTCTTCCTATGACTGAATAATATTTCATAAAATGTAAAAGTATTACATGTTAATCTAAAATTTTAAAAATATATTTTAAAGAGAAAGCAACAAAAAAGAAATCACAAAATGAACACAAAATTGCAACTGTGTCACATGTTACAGAGAGAGACAAAGTATTTTGAGATTATTCTGATAAATTAGGATGACATGGAATCAAACATGTTCATATTACTCACAGATCCATAAATATAAATAAGAAAAGAGTGCTGCCTGTTCAAAGTCACTAATTTGGATCTATTAGTCTATGCCAGGATCATCATAGAAGAACCTGACTGAAACAAACACATAATGCATTTGATGGGTGTATTCAAAGGAAGCAGGGAGAGTACCCTGGGGTCTCACAAGGGTGGAAAACCATTCCATTTTGCTTAAAATATCAAGCCTGAAAAAGATAACATCAGTATTTGTTTTCACACTTCTGGCTTTTAATAACTTTGTTTAGGCTAATGAAAATATTTATTTGCTGCCTATTATGTAAAAGATTAAAGTTACTGTAGAGAAATAATTTATAATGTTAAGCATGATTGTTCAAGTAAATTGCGGTATACCAAAGAAGGAAAGATCATGCTATCAGTAAAATCTACATTGGGTGGTATTAACTGCTTCCTTTTTTATACAGATACAACACATAGGATTCCACATTAGTGTTGTCACTGGAACCTCTCTAGGTTCTTTTTATTTTTTTTTTTATTTTTGAGATAAATATTTCCAGTTTACATCATAGTGTAGCCTAATGCTACACTAAAGAAAGAATTCAACAAACAAGAAGACAAAAGACCATAGTTAGCAGGAACACAGACAAAAGCCATAAACAACAAGCAAATGAAAAGATGTCAGCTTCACCAGTAGCCAATAAACTTCAAGACAGTCACAGATCATCAACACTACGGTAGTATATAAGTCCTAATCATGTACCCAACAAAGATTCAAAGCATAGTTTGACAAAACCCTGCATTTCCAGCAAAACTGCTACACTCGGGCATTCCTTTCTTTTTGGTTTTTGTTTTTTCATTTTTAAATTTAATTTTAGCTACTGCATATTTAATTAGTCACAATCCCCAGGTTCATAACTGTTGTTGTCCTATATTTTCCACATAATGCCTTGTATGAGCTGGGAAGACTGAGGTCACGAAGGCTAAGGACAGGACATAAGCAAGTACTGGATAAGCAATGGCACGTTCACCACTACCCTTTCCTCAAAGAGCCAAAGAATCACATAACTAAAGGCAAGATTTCAACAACACTGAGTGTTAGGAGGGAGAGACCCGTGTATGTAGAGCCAAGGAGTACAGATTATGTAGACTTGGATGGACACTAGGCTCCCAAGTAGAGACCTAAAGGGAAGAAGAGACAATGGCTTCTCTGACATTGAGTACCAAAAACTCAAGGAGGGTGACAAGAGAAGCAGAAGGTGGCCCCAGGAAACAGAAGAAAGTTAAAAGTATTGCCGGCGCCGCAGCTCACTAGGCTAATCCTCCGCCTGCGGCGTCGGCACACCAGGTTCTAGTCCCGGTCGGGGCGCCGGATTCTGTCCCGGTTGCCCCTCTTCCAGGCCGCTCTCTGCTGTGGCCCGGGAGTGCAGTGGAGGATGGCCCAAGTGCTTGGGCCCTGCACCCCATGGGAGACCAGGAGAAGCACCTGGCTGCTGGCTTCGGTTCAGCATGGTGCGCGGCGCAACACGCCGGCACGGCAGCCATTGGAGGGTGAACCAACGGCAAAAGGAAGACCTTTCTCTCTGTCTCTCTCTCTCACTGTCCACTCTCCACACTGTCCACACTGTCAAAAAAAAAATAAAAAGTACTAGAAGCTGGCGGAAATAATTGGGGAAGGTAAAGAGATCTCAGTGCACTGTAATTGAGTAGTACATATACTATAACTGCAGGTTTGGTGGGGACGTGTGGGCCACACAGATTTATCCTGCCATGAAATCAAGGAAATGTGCCTTTTTTTAAAAAACTTTTATAGTAAATATAATTTTCCAAAGTACAGTTTATGGATTACAATGGCTTTCCCCCACCCATAACTTCCCTCCCACCCGCAACCCTCCCATCTCCTGCTCCCTCTCGCATTCCATTCACATTAAGATTCATTTTCAATTATCTTTATATACAGAAGATCAATTTAGTATATATTAAGTAAAGATTTCATCAGTCTGCACCCACACAGAACATAAAGTGTAAAATACTGTTTGAGTACTAGTTATAGCATTAATTCACAATGTACAACATATTAAGGACAGAGATCCCACATGAGGAGTAAGTACACAGTGACTCCTGTTGTTGACTTTACCAATTGACACTCTTGTTTATGGCATCAATAATCTCCCTAGGCTCTAGTCATGAGTTTCCAAGGCTATGGAAGCCTTTTGAGTTCGCCAACTCTGATCATATTTAGACAAGGTCACAGTCAAAGTGGAGGTTCTTTCCTCCCTTCAGAGAAAGGTACCTCCTTCTTTGATGGCCCGTTCTTTCCACTGGGATCTCACTCGCAGAGATCTTTCATTTAGGTAGGTTTTTTTTGTTTGTTTGTTTGTTTGTTTTTCCAGAGTGTCTTGGCTTTCCATGTCTAAAATACTCTCATGGGCTCTTCAGCCAGATCTGAGTGCCTTAAGGGCATTTGAGAGGTAGGGTTCCAGACAGAGAGAGGGAGAGACAGAGAGAAAGATTTTCCATGTGATGGTTCACTTTCCCAAATGACTGCAATGGCCGGAGCTGTGCCAATCCGAAGCCAGGATCCAGGATCTTCTTCTGGTTCTCCCATGTGGATGCAGGGACCCAAGCAGAGAGGTGGGTTGGAAGAGGAGCCGCTGGAACTCAAATCAGTGCCCATATGGGATGCCAGTGCTGCAGGCAGAAGCTTAGCCTACTACCCCACAGCACAGGCCCCACAAATGTGTCTTTTACATAGTATCCCTGACCCAAGTCTGCGCTGGGCACCTGATAAGCACCAAACTTAAAAGAATGTAAAAAACTCTCCTGAGATCCTGAAAGGAGTCCTGGAAGGAACCCTAAATCCTAACATTTGCATTTGATGCAGGTGGTAACTACTCAACACAGCCAGGTAGTGATAAGAGCCAACACTCAGTTTTCAGTCTGGGTCTGGACTCTGTGTTCCATCCCATAATCCTCTCTTCAGTGATGTGGTCCCAAATTCTCCATTGATTGGGAAAGCAATCCCATGGCTGCAGGCAGGGGAAGGAACATCACTTTGAAAAGAATCACCAGGTATAGAATCAGGCCCGTCCCTCTAATGTGCTTCTCAGGTCTCCACCTCGGGGACTCCGTGCCACTCACGCCAAGCATACACTTTCACACATCTGATGTCTTCTGAGCAGGGAACCTTTGCCCAGGGTGGTCAGCCCCACTACACTGCTCTGACACATGTCTTCCTGCAGTAGAGAGCCTGAGAGCTGTGCAGGTTGTGAATAGCACCACTGTAGCATCAGTCCCAGCACCACTGGAACATCTGTAACACAGCAGTCCCACGATTTCTGCTCTCAAGCCAGCATGGCTTGACGGTGGCCAGGGGCCTGAGGAAATCACATGCACGGGGATTTTTTTTTATTTTTCAAATTTTTATATGGTTTTGTTGAGGCATAGCTGATACACAAACTGCATATATTCAATCTGATGACTTTGGAGATATCTACAGGGGGAAAGAAGAACCAGGGATTGTGGTTACATGATTTCGTAAATAAGCATTACCTTGAACTTTTAAGCAAGGCTAGAATGCAGGTAGAGTTTTTTTCTGTAAACAAAAAAGCTATTGTAATTAACAAACCAAAAAAAAAAAAAAAAGGCTTGAAAGAACGAAATAGCTGGGATATTCGTTGCCAATCATTAACCTGATTTTCTAATGAATATGGCATTAGGCATTCATTAACAATCATTTGTGTTTATGTTGAACAGTGGATGTATAATGAAGGTTGGTAAATGAAAGCAAAATTAAACCAGGGAATTTTGGACACTTATAAAGCAATTAACTTGTTTGGCAGTAATTACACATTGAAAGCTAAATCAAGTGCATTTAGAAAGCCACAAGAGTCGCCACATAAACCAGAGGTGCTTTGCTCTAAAATAATAGAAAAACCTCTCTTTCTTTCCAAATGAAAGAGAAAAGCAAAAGTATGGTATAAATGACAAACAAGGCTCGAGTCTAATGAAAAGAAACGCGGTTACAGCCCATATGTTAGAGAAGAGGCAAGTTACCAAAAAAATAGGACAGCTCAGCTAATTAAAGGAAGAAAAAACCTTTTGTCACAGCAATGATGTGAAAACAGGTGGTATATGCTGGAGGGCTCAAGTTTTTGTTCTGTTCACACGCACAGGCATGCACACACATGCGTGCACACACACGAGTCTGCATACTTGAACCACCTATTAGCTGTGTGAAGAGTAAATACTCAATGCGCAGTCAGGCCCTTCGGACGACCACTGTATCTCTGTAGCAGGTCTTTGTCACTGTTGATTTTGTCTTGAAGGCTGTGCTGGGCCATGGTCATTTAGCACAAGGCCCTAAAGGCCAGTCATTCAACATA